TCTCATGTGCTCTGCCTTTCAAATAAATAAATCTGTTTTTAAAAGTCCATGGAAAATGCACATTTTGACAAAACTATGAATGGATGTCAAAAATTTTTGCACAGAAAGATGACAGAATAGTGAGGGTGCGCACTGATAGTCCGGGAAAAGATAGTTCAATAAAAGTGGAGTTACTGTAGTTTCAGGGAAAGGCTCAGGAAAAAAACTGCAGAGGAAACTCTTCCAGATCTAGTGGATGTGACACGAAGGACCTACGGGGAGAGCAAGGATGCCCACAGCTTGGGAGCCCAGTCGCGGAGTCTACACACCAGCGCTGGAAGAGGAGGTGAGGTCAATGGCCCAAGACATTGGCGGGGAAATGGCAGAAAGAGCCTAGAGGGAACGAGGCTTGAAGCCCCGCTGGGGAAAGTTCACCAGACTAACTAGAGGAAAGAAAAAAATAAATAAATTAAAGGGACTGGCACGGGCATGAGTCTCTCTCTCCACTCACCTTACAAAGGCAAGCATGACAAAGAGTAGGAGCCATTTTGAACATACAAAAAGCGGCGCCCGCTATCAACCAAGCAGAAAAACCTGACTCTGGTGGGGAGCAATAACAGGAGGTTAGGACCTAGTGAAGGTGTGGAGCTAATGAACTGAGACTGAAAATCTGAGGGTGTGCGAGAGAACTCACCGAGTACACAAACTAGGTAACCTTGGCAACCCGGTGGGAGACTGCAGGGAAATTTGAGATCACACGGAGGACTGTATAGACCCTTTGTGTGGTCCTTGGGCAGAGCAGATGAATATTATAACCTCAGGGGCCAGATTTCATGCACTGACTATGCTCAATTCTGCTCAGCTGTGCAGAATTACTTCCCTTCTGAGTTTAAAAAAAAAAAAGACTAAAAAAGAGAGCGAGCGAGAGAGAACAACCTGGGTGTGTCACGTTTGGCACACCCTTAACCCTGAAGAACCAAACAGAGCTCTCTGGCCACACACATCACATGCCTCTAAGGATCCATCAAAAGCAGACAGTCCACTTAATCTAGAGTCATAGCATAATGAGAAAAACTCCATAGTGAAGAAATCAAAGAATATTTCCACAATGCCAACAAATGCAGAAACCAAGGAAACAAGAGCAAGGAAGACACTATGATGCCCCCAAATGAACAAGACACCCCAATTCAAGATTATGAAGATGATGAGATAGAAGAAATGCAAGAAACGGATCTCAAAAAAATGGATAAGAACATTAAGAAGTTCTCAAAAACAAATTCTTGAACTACAGAAATCCTTACTGGACAGGATAGAAAATCTCTCTCGTGAAAATGAAATCTTAAGGAGGAATCAAAATGAAATGAAGCAACTAGTAGAACATGAAATGGTGATAGTGAAGAGAAATCAAAATGAAATGAAGAATTCAGTAGATCAAATGACAAACACATTAGAGAGCCTTAAAAACAGAACGAGTGAAGCAGAAGAGAGAATATCGGACTTAGAAGACAGAGAACAGGAAAGTATACAGTCAAACCAAAGAAAAGAAGAGGATATTAGAAATCTAAAAAATATTGTTGGGAATCTACAGGATACTATTAAAAAAACCAACATTCAGGTTCTAGGAGTTCCTGAAGGTGTGGAGAGAGAGAAAGGATTAGAAGGCCTTTTTAGTGAGATACTGTATGTAGAAAATATCCCGGGTTTGGAGAAGGACAGAGACATCCAAGTACAGGAAGCTCATAGAACCCCTAGCAAACGTGACCAAAAGAGATCCTCACCATGACACGTTGTAATCAAACTTACCACAGTGAAACATAAAGAAAAGATTCTAAAATGTGCAAGAGAGAAACATCAGATTACTCTCAGAGGATCTCCAATTAGACTCACAGCAGACTTCTCATTAGAAACCCTACAGGCTAGGAGGGAATGGCAAGATATAGCCCAGGTACTAAGATAGAAAAACTGCCATCCCAGAATATTATATCCTGCAAAGCTCTCATTTGTGAATGAAGGTGAAATAAAGACTTTCATAGCAAACAGAAATTGAAAGAATTTGTCACCACTCATCCTGCCCTGCAAAAAATGCTTAAATATGTGCTACACACAGAAACACATAAACACGGCCATCAATATGAAAGAAGGTAAAGGAAGAAAACCTACCACTAAAAGATCACAGGAAGCTCAAAGCATATACGAGAAAATACCTTTGGGAAAATGGCAGGGCAAAGTCACTACTTATCAATAGTCACATTGAACGTTAATGGACTTAACTCTCCAGTTAAAAGACACAGACTGGCTGAATGGATTAAGGAACAAAACTAATCTATTTGCTGCCTACAAGAAACACATCTTTCCAACAAAGATACATGCAGACTGAAAGTGAAAGGTTGGAAAAAGATATTCCATGCCAACAGAAACAAAAAAAAGCAGGTGTAGCCATCTTAATGTCAGACAAAATAAACTTTAACACAAAAACTGTTAAGAGAGACAAAGAGGGGCACTATATAATGATTAAGGGTTTAACTCAACAGAAAGATGTAACTATTATAAATGTATATGCACCTAATTATAGGGCACCGGTTTATTTAAAAAACATTTTAAGGAACTTAAAGGGGGACTTTGACTCCAATATAATAGTACTGAAGGACTTCAATACTCCACTCTCAGAAACAGACAGATCAACCGGACAGAAGACCAACAAGGAAACAGCAGATTTAATCGACACTATAGCCCAAATGGATCTAACAGATATCTACAGAACTTTCAATCCTATATTTGAAGAATTTACATTCTTCTCAGCAGTACATGGAACCTTCTCTAGGATTGACCACATACTAAGCCATAAAGCAAGTCTCAGCAAATTCAAAATAATTAGAATAATACCATGCAGCTTCTCAGACCAAAGGGGAATGAAGTTGGAAATTAGCAATTCAGGAATCTTTAGAGCATATGCAAACACATGGAGACTGAACAGCATGCTCCTGAAGGACACACTGGGTCACAGAATAAATCAAAAACTTTCTGGAAGTAAATGAGGATGGCAACACAACATATCAAAACTTATGGGGTACATCAAAAGCAGTGTTGAGAGAAAAGTTTATATCAATAGGTGCCTACATCAAGAAATTGGAAAGGCACCAAATAGATGAGCTTTCAATTCATCTCAAGGATCTAGAAAATCTGCAGAAAACCTATCCAAATCTGGTAGGAGAAGAAAAATGATTAAAATCCAAAGGAAATCAACAGGATTGAATCCAAAAAAAAAAAATTACAAAAAATCAGCCAAACGAAGAGCTGGTTTTTTGAAAAAAATGAATGAAATTGACATACCATTGGACAACTAACTAAAAAAGAAGACCCAAATCAATAAAATCAGAGATGAAAAAGAAATGTAACAACAGACACCACAGAAATAAAAGGAATCATCAGAAATTACTACAAGGACTTGTATGCTAGCAAACAGGGAAATCTATCAGAAATGGATAGTTTCTTGAACACATGCAATCTACCTAAATTGAACCAGGAAGACACAGAAAATCTAAACAGACCCATAACTGAGACAGAAATTGAAACAGTAATAAAGGCCCTCCCAACAAAGAAAAGCCCAGGACCAGATGGATTCACTGCTGAATTCTACCAGACATTTAAAGAAGAACTTACTCCAATTCTTCTCAAACTATTCAGAACAATTGGAAAAAGAGGGAATCCTACTAAATTCTTTCTATGAAGCCAGCACCACGTTAATCCCTAAGCCAGAGAAAGATGCAACATTGAAAGAAAATTACAGACCAATATCTCTGATGAACATAGACGCAAAAATCCTCAGTAAAATTCTCGCCAATAGAATACAACAACACATCAGAAAGATCATCCACCCAAAACAAGTGGGATTTATCCCTGGTATGCAGGGATGCTTCAATGTTTGCAAATCAATCAATGTGATACACCACATTAACAAACTGCAGAAGAAAAACCATATGACTATCTCAATAGACGCAGAGAAGCATTTGATAAAATACAACACCCTTTCATGATAAAAACTCTAAGCAAATTGGGTATAGAAGGAACATTCCTCTTAATCACAGAGTTCAACCAATAGTACTAGAACAAAACAAAGAGAAAATACTAAAATGTATAAAGTATTACATTGTACATCAACAGTCAGGACAACAGCTGATCAAGTCACTGTTTCTCAATGTGTCCATTTCACTTCAACAGGTTTAAGAGTGGGAATAAGAGAGGGAGGGGATGTACAATTTGGGATATGCTCAATCGGACTTGCCCCAAATGGTGGAGTTAGAATCGTGCCAGGAGATCCCAATACAATCCCATCAAGGTGGCATGTACCAATGCCATCTCACTAGTCCAAGTGATCAATTTCAGTTCACAACTGATCACACTGATAGGCCTAAGAGTCAAAGGGATCACACAAACAAGTCTAGTGTTTGCTAATCCTAGCTGATAGAATCAAAAAAGGAGAGAACAATCCATCATAGGAAGCAGGATACACAGTAAACTCATAGAATGGCAGATGTCCTAAATAGCACTCTGGCCTCAGAATCAGCCCTTAAGGCATTCAGATCTGGCTGAAGAGCCCATGAGAGTATTTTAGGCATGGAAAGCCAAGACACCCTGGGAAAAAAAAAGGAAGACCTAAATGAAAGATCTCTGCGAGTGAGATCCCAGTGGAAAGAATGGGGCCATCAAAAAAGGAGGTACCTTTTTCTGAAGGGAGGAGAGAACTTCCACTTTGACTATGACCCTGTCAGAATAAGACTGAAGTTGGCGAACTCAAAAGGCTTCCATAGCCTTGGCAACTCATGACTAGAGCCTAGGGAGATTTCTGACGCCATAAACAAGAGTGTCAAATTGTTAAGTCAACAACAGGAGTCACTGTGTACTTACTTCTCATGTGGGATCTGTCCTTAGTGTGTTGTCCAATGTGAAGTAATGCTATAACTAGTACTGAAACAGTATTTTACACTTTGTGTTTCTGTGTGGGTCCAAACTGATGAAATCTTTACTTAATATATACTGAATTGATCTTCTGTATATAAAGATAATTGAAAATGAATCTTCATGTGAATGGAATGGGAGGGGTGTGAGTGGGAGGGAAATTATGGGGGGGGGAGCCATTGTAATCCATTAACTGTACTTTGAAAATTTATATTTACTAAATAAAAAATTTTAAAAAAGAATTTTACTAAAAAGAGAGAGAAAAAAAGAAGGAACATTCCTCAATACAATCAAAGCAATTTATGAAAAACCCATGGCCAATATCCTATTGAATGGGGAAAAGTTGGAAACATTTCCACTGAGATCTGGTACCAGACAGGGATGCCCACTCTCACCACTGCTATTCAATATAGTTCTGGAGGTTCTAGCCAGAGCCATCAGGCAAGAAAAAGAAATTAAGGGATACAAATTGGGAAGGAAGAACTCAAACTTTCCCTCTTTGTAGATGATATGATTCTTGATTTAGGGGATCCAAAGAACTCTACTAAGACACTATTGGAACTCAAAGAGGAGTTTGGCAAAGCCGTAGGATATAAAATCAATGCAGAAAAATCAACAGCCTTTGTATACACAGGCAATGCCATGGCTGAGAAAGAACTGCTAAGATCAATTCCATTCACAATAGCTACAAAAACAATCAAATACCTTGGAATAAACTTAACCAAGGACATTAAAGATCTCTATGATGAAAATAACAAAATCTTAAAGAAACAGAAGAGGATATCAAAAAATGGAAAAATCTTCCATGCTCATGGATTGGAAGAATCAACATCATCAAAATGTCCATTCTCCCAAAAGCAATTTATAGATTCAATGCGATACCAATCAAAATACCAAAGACATTCTTCTCAGATCTGGAAAAAATGATGCTGAAATTCATATGGAGGCACAGGAGACCTCGAATAGCTAAAGCAATCTTGTACAACAAAAACAAAGCCGGAGGCATCATAGTACCAGATTTCAGGACATACTACAGGGCAGTTGTAATCAAAACAGCATGGTACTGGTACAGAAACAGATGGATAGACCAATGGAACAGAATAGAAACACCAGAAATGAATCCAAACATCTACAGCCAACTTATATTTGATCAAGGATCTAAAATCAATTCCTGGAGTAAGGGCAGTCTATTCAATAAATGGTGCTGCGAAAACTGGATTTGCACATGCAGAAGCATGAAGCAAGTCCCCTACCTTTCAAAATAAACAGTCAGGAAAGTGAAGAGGCAACCTACAGAATGGGAAAAAATATTTGCAAACTATACAACAGATAAAGGATTAATAACCAGAATCTACAAAGAGATCAGGAAACTCCACAACAACAAAACAAGCAACCCACTTAAGGATTAGCCAAGGACCTCAATAGACATTTTTCAAAAGAGGAAATCCAAATTGCCAACAGATACATGAAAAAATGTTCAAGGTCACTAGCAATCAGGGAAATGCAAATCAAAACCACAATGAGGTTTCACCTCACCCCGGTCAGAATGGCTCACATTCAGAAATCTACCAACAACAGATGCTGGCGAGGATGTGGGGGAAAAGGGACACTCACTCACTGTTGGTGGGAATGCAAACTGGTCAAGCCACTATGGAAGTCAGTCTGGAGATTCCTCAGAAACCTGAATATAACCCTACCATACAACCCAGCCATCTCACTCCTTGGAATTTACCCAAAGGAAATTAAAATGGCAAACAAAAAAGGTGTCTGCACATTACTGTTTACTGCAGCTCAATTCACAATAGCTAAGACCTGGAATCAACCCAAATGCCCATCAACAGCAGATTGCATAAAGAAATTGTGCAATATGTACTCTATAGAATACTATACAGCAGTAAAAAACAACAAAAATCCAGTCATTTGCAATAAAATGGAGGAATCTGGAACACATCATGCTGAGTGAAATAAGCCAGTCCCAAAGGGACAAATATCATTTGTTCTCCCTGATCGGTGACAACTAACCGAGCACCAAAAAGCAAACCTGTTGAAGTGAAATAACACTATGAGAAATGGTGACTTGATCAGCCCTTGTCTTGACTGTTGATGTACAACTTAATACTTTATCCCTTTTAGTATTTTTTTGTTCTACTTAATCCTATTGGTTGAACTCTGTAATTAATACACAATTATGCGCCATGGACGGTCAAGCATCGAGTGAGCTGCTTTATGAGCTGTTTCACTGTTCACAATGAGGGCAGTGGCCTTACCCCATCTGGAGGTAAGAAAAATCAGGGCACAAGGGTTGAAATGATGGGGCCAAGGCCACATCAGGTGGGATCCAGAGGCAGCATTTGGCCTCAGATCTGTCCCGCCTAAAGCTTCCATAGTCTACCATTTTCCCAGGCTGTATACATATTTAGAAAAACTTACTGTGTAGTAGTCATACCAGCGGGCTTCAGGGAAATACGCAGTGACTTCTCTGGCGTTCTGGAATTAAGCACAAACAAGGTGTGGGCTGTGGGCATAGTCAGCAAGGGCAGAGTAAAAATGTTTGCAGAGGAAAGGGGTTAAAACCATAGTGATGGCCTTGGATCCACTTCTTGATCCTTGTCCAGCTCAGCAGTGTAAGAATATTCGTCCCTGTTCTACTTTGCAAACAGGGCAGATCCGCCTCCCCAGACAAGTGGCTTCCATAAAGCCCTTTTCCTTTGCCAAGACTTCAAGGGAATAAACATTACTATTTGCTTATGATCTTACCCTATCCCTTATTTAAAGAGACAAACAACTAAGTTTCAGGGTGAGGCAGAAAAAAATTTGTGAACACAATGATTTAAAAAAAAAATTTTTAAGTTTAAAAGGCAGAAAAAAGGAGAAGGGTTGGGAGAGATACATTCCGTTCACTGGTTCTCTCCCCAAATGCCGACAGCATCCAGGCCTAGACAAGGCCAAAGTAAAAAATATAGAGCTCATTCCAGATCTCCGACATAGGTATAGGGAACCCAAGTATTTGAACCATCACCTGCTGTGTCCCAGGGTGTACATTGGCAGGAAGTTGGTAGGAAGTAAAGGAGCCAGGACTCCAAGGAGGTGCTCCAAAATAGCACACTGGCTTCTGGACAGCATTCTACTTGTACAAATGCCTGCCCATGTAAATACACTAAGATGTGAGGAGGTGCCATTAGCTGGAACTCCCCCCTCAGTGGTCCAATCACCAGCAGGAAACAGAGACAGCTCTTGCTTCCTGGGAGGCCGCTGGTGGTAGGAAGGAAGGGGTAGCTTCAGGAAGATTACATGGATCACTCACTGCGATCCATCGGCACTGAGAAGCTACAATCTAACAGTAACAGCAGAAAGTAAGGGGGAATCTACACTACTCGGGACTCCACTCAACTCTGGACTCCGCATTTTACTTAAGGGAGAAATGATTATATCTGCAAATACACCAGAAAGTATTTTCTATTCTTGATATCCTGGGAACAAGAATTGTTTTCACTCATTTCAAACACAAAGAACCTGAGGCCCAGAGTCCCTGAGTGACAGGCTGAGAAGGAGAGGAGGAGACAGAGGCAGGACAAGAAGCAGGTGTCAGGACCCGGCACCAGGCCTCTTCTCCCCACACTGTTCTCCAGCCTCACAGCCAGGACCCTCTGCCCACCAGAGGCCCCCTACTCACAGGCTCCAGCACAGGGCTGACCAGGAAGGCCGGGCCCAGCAGGAACTGACCGTCTATGTCCCAGGTCACCCGGTCTGACACAAACCTGGAGAGGACAGGAAGGGGCCACAGTCACAGCCCAGCCAGCCCAGCCCAGCCCTGAAGGAAGTCCTCAACTCAGACCCAAGTCAGGAACCCGCTGCACCTGAGGATCCTTACTGCTGGCCTAGGCCTGGCTCACTCAGGAACACACAGGCCCACAGCCATCTGTCCTAGGACATGCTCATCAAACCTCAGAACGGGGGAGATCTAGCTGTGTTCTCTGCTATAAAGTATGTGCACACGTCTTTACCTTGGCACGGTTTAAATGCCAGGAAGGCCCTCATCCCCCAAGACCCCACTACAGAAATGACTTCTTTTAAGGCCTGAGTTCATCGGGATCTGGGACAACACACAACCAAACAGCCACAGAAGATTTAGCTTTGCATGGCCAAAATGAAAGAACCAATCCTGTGCTGAATTTTATCATTTCAATTTTTTTTCAATCAAAAAATAACTTTTACCAACAACCCATGGCATGTATAACACTGTGCAGAAAGGGTTGATAATGATCTGCATCAGGAGATTTTATGGAAAAGGCAATGCTGTATTCCCTGTAGAGGGTTTACTTTCATCCCCTGCCACCCTAGTGAAACAAGGAAATCAGCCACTGGTCACTGAGGTCCCACTAGACACTCACTCGTGCAGGAGAGGCCGCACCACAGTGCTGCCCTCCACGTGGGCCTTGTGCATCAGGGTGTAGAGATAGGGCAGCAGGGTGTATCTGGTCTCCAGGACGCTTCTGGAAAGATTCACAAAGGTGGCATTCCAGGACACAGGGTCCTGTCTCTGCAAAAGAGGAAGAGGACTGTGAGGAGCTCAGCCTAGAGCATCTTACATCCTTAAGGAAGTCACTGAGAGCTTATTCCTGATGGGGACCACACACAGCCACACCAAAGTTAATAACAGATGAAAGACAGAGAACATACTCACTAGACTGGAAAAGATCGCTGTGGCTCTCCAAGGACAACTAATCAAATTTCCCTAAAAGATACTGTCCTATAGAACTGTTTGGAAATCTCTGTATAAACAAAAAGAATAAGCTAAAGGTATCTGGGAGTGCAGTTCACTGAGACACAGGATTGAATGACATTGAAGACACCCCAGGGAATAGACTGCATAAACTGTAGCTCACAAATGCAGGGCGCCTTTCACACCACACACATCACTTGAGGGAGCAGCGAATGCCCTACCTTGGTCCCTTCGGTGTTGTGGTTCCTGGAGAAGGGGTAAAAGGCCCCCAGCTGCATCCAGCGAGCACACATCTCATATTCGGCGTCTTGAAAGAACCCACAGATGTCTGCTCCTGTCTGAACCGAGAAGCAAGAAAAGGGGCCTGCTGAGGGTTTCTGAACGCTGGCTGCAGCTCCCAGGTCACCAGGAGGGATCCAGGGACACTTACATAGGGAATGCCAAAGAGGCTGAACTCCATCATGCCTGCAAAGGGAACCACAGCGGGGTGAGACCAGGCCCTGAGCCCTGCCTCCTCCCCCCTCACCACCCCCTCCCTGCCAGCAGGGGCCCTGGCACAAGGCTGCACACCAATGATAGACTTCCTCAGCTGGTCCCACGCGGCTGTGTTGTCTCCCAGCCAGTGTCCCCCCCAGCGGCCAGAAGAGGGGAACGTGGAGCGGGTGATGACGATCCCTCGCTGTCCCGTCACCTCCTGCACGGCTCTGGTGGAGGGAAAGGAGGTGAGCTGAGGGCAGAGCAGGAGATGGAAAGGCACAGAGCTCCTGCCCTCGGGGCTGAACCCAGGACATGGTCCCTGATGTCTGCTGCATGGCTGCAGGGATACGGAAATCAGCCAGCGTGAGGCCCCCACCGACTCATCCCAGACCATGGACATGGCTATCACGGCTGTACCTTTACACAATGTTCTACCAAGACACCTGTCATGGGTAAACCCAGTGAATTGCCCCAAAATACTAAGTAACCCCTGAGTCTTTCAATTTGTTTATTCTGCGCAGTCAGACATTTACAATGTCCTTTCAGCCCATGATGGATTACACACACAATGGTCACCCCATATAACTGCAACAGAGCTGAAAAGTTCCTATTTTCAATGGTGGCATAATTGTTGTAAGTGATATCACCACAAAGCACTGACTTGGTTTTGATAATACAAGAGTTAACAAAACTGCTACACTGCCAGTCAAATAAAAGTACAGTGCATACAATTACCTACAACTCGATATATTTAATAATGATAAATACTGACTTCACCACTGTTTTTCATATTTAGAACAATGCAATTTTTCATTGGTTTGAAGTACACTCCTCCTACACGTAAAAATCAGTTACTGCAAAATAATGCACCATGTTATGGCAGTGGCATCTTCATGTAGCTAAGGATTTCTGTGCCTCTTGTCTGCAACAGATGCCACAGTGATTGCCATATCACCTCTAGATTACTGCATTTCTCAAAAAGTCTCACCATTATTGTGCTATAAATTTCTATAATTGGGGAGAGAGAGTGTGTTTACCTTTTAAGATTTCCCTAAGGATTTGTATTATTCATTGAAGTCAAACATATACCTGTGCTAATTCAGTAGATCTTACATTGACTATCCAGAGAGAGAACGGCCAAAAAGTAAAATCCTAATAAAGATGATTCACTTTTTAAAAAAAGATTCACTTATTATAAAGAGAGAGCTTTATATATATATATATATATATATATATATAGAGAGAGAGAGAGAGAGAGAGAGAGACAGACAGACAGACAGACAGAATCTTCCATCTGCTGACTTACTCCCCAGATGGCTACAATGGCCACAGCTAGGCCAGGACAAAGCCAGGAGCTTCTTCCTGGTCTCCCACATGGGTGTGGGAACCCAAGTCCTTGGGCTATCTTTGGATGCTTTCCCAGGTGCATGAGCAGGGAGCTGGATCAGAAGTGAAGCACACAAACCTGTGCCCCTGTGTGATGCCGACACTACAGGATGCCACAGTGCTGACCTGGAGATGATTCACTTTTGAAATAAGCAGAGAGATATCCAGTCATCTGCATTACTCTTGCCACTTATAACTAAAGTTATTACAGCAGCAGCTGCACTGTATATCCATCAATGTATCTACATGTGTGTCTCCACAGGATACAAAGTATAGTAGATTGAATATATACACTGTAATGTAGTCACTACTATCACTATCAAGTATCATGAACTACAGATAATTGTTTGTGCTGTACTTTTATTTGAATGGAAGTTCAGTAGGTTTGTTTACCCCTGTACCACCATACACGTGGAGTAATGCATTGGTTTAAGCCTTCTGTGGGTTATGACTTGAAAAATAAAACTATTGGTTTTTCACTTGTGGGTCCCTTCTTTATCTAAATCTCTCTTGATTATAAGCACAGAGCCTGGCTCAATGAGTGCTTGCTTAGTAAATGGGAATTGCTACACACTAGCTTCATCCATCACTGGCTGTCCTGCAGGCTGTACCCAGTGGAGAAGGGAGACAGTGACTCACTCGTAGGTGGGTCTGGTCTGGGACCACCCATACAGGTTGTGCACGTCGTAGTGCCGCACATGGGAGCCGTCTGGCAGGATCTGCTCACTCTCCATGCACAGGGTCTTGCTGCTCAGGCCTGTGCCCCTGGACTCCAGGTCTGGGGGAGAAGATGCAGGGATGTTAAAGCCAGCTCTGATCCCGGGTGTCTTGTGCTTCTCTCCAAGAGCCTGGACCATGGATCCTGAGATAACTTAACCCAGCACGAGTCCTTCTCCTGTTCCCCAGGGGTCTGGGAATAGTGCTCATCAGCTCTGAGCTGCAAGGGTACTGGCAGATGTTTCCACAGTCAAGTTTCTTGGAGAAAGCAGAGGTTTGATAGAATGCACAATTACCAAATATGTACCACAAATCCTGATGTGGCTTCGAATGTGTAAATTATTTCTTATAGTTCTTATCAAATTGCCAGGATAGCAATATGTGCATTTTATGGTTTAGAAAACCTAGACTTGCAATAACTGTTTAATAACTGTTTAATCTGCGGGAAATATATGACTCACAGAATGATCTCTGGAGCCATTATGAACAGAAGAAAAACTCCAAAGTCCACCTGCTCTATGATAAGAGGACGATACTACTTTGTGGCTCAACACAATTCTGTGAAGGGATTAACACAACCCTAAGAAATTTACCCAGCAGGCCCAGGGGCTTGCACACGTCTGACTGGTGGTGTTTCAAGTACATTTGTTTCTGGTTCCCCAAAACCCACAGTGCCAATGAGCAAGACCCTGGCCACTGGGCTCTCAATGGCTGTGGCTCTGCAGGTGAGGAGGCCAAGGGTCCTTACGTGGCATGTAGGGGGGATGGTTCAGAGTGGTATCCGTGCAGCCTGCAGGAACTGCCCCATTCACAAAGCTCGCTGGTTCATTCATGTCCTAGAAATGTCAACACAGACATAACGTAAAGTTATCATGTAGTATAGCCCTTCAATTCAGAGACCAGATGTTAGAAATAATCATTCTATACCCAGAACTCCCTGTGGAGGTCAGTCCAGGGAGGCTTATCAAATGCCAGTAAGAATAATGACTGGCATGGTAATTAAAAAAGGGAAAGTTCCAAGGTATTTCTCATAATCACCTCTGGGGCTTTAGAGCTGGAACCTCAGACAAGGTACAAGGTATGAGGGATTTCAGGGCTGTGCAGTTCCTGGGTGGAGGAAGTGCTGTCTAATATGCCCCAAGTCTTCCTTGGTGGAGTATTGTCATTTATCACAGGTCAGTGATACCAATGCTAAAGCACACAGAGACACACACTGATGCTCACGCACACACACACACACACACACACACTCACACACTTACAATCCATAAGCCGTCGAACTTCAAGCTCTTCTCGGGATTCTGTGGGTTGGTGTACATTTCTTGTATTTCCCTCTTCCACCAGCTGACAGTTGAATTACGGAAAAAGTCTGGGAAGGCTGCATAAGCTCTGTATTGCTGTAAAAATTAAATGCAGCCCATTTGTACCAAACAAATAAACTATACAGCAAATAGGCACTCATGAGTACAAAGTCTTAAACCACAGGATGTAAGGTACTCTGATCAGAGCCTAAGTAATGCTCTTGATTTGTTAGAAAAGTACTGAGTGTTAGTAAGAGAACGTACTGCAAATTGCTCCTCCCCACATATGGACAACATCCATAGACCGTTTCTCCTCTTCCAGGTACCGTGAATGGTAAGCACCAACACCCTGAACTCGTTATCTCACACGTTAGATGCTCAACCCTCAACTTATGTCCTGCCATTGCCCGAGGACTCCATGAAGACAGAGCAGGAGCCCAGAGCAGCCCCACAGGGCCGACATCGGATGAAGACAGAGCAGGAGCCAGGGGCACCTGCAGCCCCACAGGGCCGACATCAGGAGAAGACAGAGCAGGAGCCCAGAGCACCCGCAGCCCCACAGGGCCGACATCGAATGAAGACAGAGCAGGAGCCAGGGGCAGCTGCAGCCCCACAGGGCCGACATCGGATGAAGACAGAGCAGGAGCCAGGGGCAGCTGCAGCCCCACAGGGCCGACATCAGGAGAAGACAGAGCAGGAGCCCAGAGCACCCGCAGCCCCACAGGGCCGACATCGAATGAAGACAGAGCAGGAGCCCAGAGCAGCTCCACAGGGCCGACATCAGGAGAAGGCAGAGCAGGAGCCCAGAACACCTACAGCCCCACAGGGCCGACATCGGATGAAGACAGAGCAGGAGCCAGGGGCACCTGCAGCCCCACAGGGCCGACCTCAGGAGAAGACAGAGCAGGAGCCCAGAGCACCTGCAGCCCCACAGGGCCGACATCGGATGAAGACAGAGCAGAAGTCAGGGGCAGCTGCAGCCCCACAGGGCCGACATCGGATGCACTGAACCAGGTGAATCTCGAAGATGGTCCCTAAGGTTGCAGAATCACATGGAACCTCTGGACGTGTGTGTGTGTGTGTGTGTTTAACATAAATCAGGAAGATTAAAAAGGAAGTTCAAACCTCCCCTTCCTCTACCTTCCCTCAAATAATTAATTCAATGTCTATTTTAACCTGACAAAGGATTCAGCATGCAACTCCCTTGGAAGATTCCCAAATCGAGGAAGTGGGAAATGTTTTAAGGAGATGGAAACACTAACCACTGTGATATAATCATCACCTACTGTATACCTGTAACAAATTATCACACTTGAATCCATAAATACATGTAATTATTACATTCAACCAAAAATTAACATTGAGAAATCTAACTCCTTAACCATATTATATTTTTTACAGAAAACTAATTGTTTTATATTTTCTAATCGATCATTATATTGCCCACAGTGTTTATCTTAGGAGTTTTCTTCAAATGCAAACCCAATGCATAATTGTTGTTTCACACTCCTTATCTGCAGCAAACATCCCTAAATTTCTCTTTATCCCATATTAAGAGAAATGGTATTCTTTTGTATGGTTCAGTACATGCTCTCCTCTATGTTACTCATTGCATTTTATGAGCTAAAGAAATAAATAATGCTGGGGGCAAGAGAGGGTAGAATCAGCAGACAGAGGGCAGGGTTAATAGAACGGTGGTGCTTGTACACAGCAGACAAAAAGCAAATAGGAACTCATGCGTCTGGATAAACTGCAGAAGACGAACACACAGGAGAAAACAGAGACAGCTCAGCAGCAGGGAACCTGCCTCTTGGAGGGATAACGGGCATTGGGCAGCATCACTGACGCCTGAGGAGGAAGCACAGCAGGGGTCATCTGCAAGGTGGAGGTGGACACCAATGGACCAGAGGATGGGAACCTTGCACCCGACACAGGCAGCTCCAGCCCAGCCAAGCGTAGGAAACGGGGAAGGTGGGAGGGTGAAAATTAAAGTCAGTTGCAGTCATGTTTGAGTCAGAGCTGCATCCACTGCTCGGGAGATTAGACCAACCGGGATTCATTAACCACATGAAGTGCTGCTGTGACGATCCTTACTCACGTAACAAAAACATCTTGCCTTTGCACAAAGTACTGCCTTTCTCTTATTCCTTTTATTTATTTATTTATTTATTTATTTATTTGACAGATAGAGTTAGACAATGAGAGATAGAGACAGAGAGAAAGGTCTTCCTTTCCGTTGGTTCACCCCCCCCCCCCCCCGAAATGGCTGCTACTGCTGGCGCTGCGCCAATCCGAAGCCAGGAGCCAGGTGCTTCTTTCTGGTCTCCCAGGCGGGTGCAGGAGCCCAAGGACTTGGGCCATCCTCCACTGCCCTTCCGGGCCACAGCAGAGAGCTGGACTGGAAAAGGAGCAACCGGGACTAGAACCCGGTGCCCATATGGGATGCCGGCACCTCAGGCGGAGGATTAACCAAGTGAGCCACGGCGCTGACCCCTCTCTTATTCCTTTTTAAAAAAGATTTATTTGAGAGTCAGAGTTACAGACAGAGATGGAGAGAGAGAAAGATCTTCCACCCACTGGCTCACTCCACAGATGGCTGCAAAGGCCAGCGCTGGGCCAGGCCGAAGCCAGGAGCCAGGAGCTCCATCTGGGTTTTCTGCTGCTTTTCTCGGGCCATTAGCAGGGAGCAGGATCCGGATTGGAGCAGCCAGGACACAGACCACACCCATACGGGATGCTGCACCAAGGGCACAGCTTTACCTGCTAAATGCAGCGGCAGCCCCAACACTCACTCCTGTGTGTTTGAAACTTCCACCTTTTGCTTTCGCCTCCACTATTCCTGGTCTTCAGCTCCCGTGCGTGTTTGACCTAGCACCCCTTATCACAATGCTAACAAAATCCGACTCCCAGACCCTAATCCAGGCTTACTGAACTAAGTCTCCAACTTCGGACTCAGAAAGGTACTTCCCTGGCTTTCTTAGCCATTTGATTCATTATTCAACGTTACCCTCATCAAGGCGGACCTACACATTAACAGCCTCACCTTATCAGACTCACCAAATGGGTCTTGTGCATATAATTACTATAGCTACTGAGTATCTCTTATGAGCTGCCTAATAGACTCCATGACCCTGTAGTGAAGTGCCTCTCCGAGGCACAATTGGCATGTGGGTAAAGAGAATTATTTGAGGAGAATCCATGATGATAAGAACAATGGGTATCCCTGGCCACCACCCAAGAACAGCCACTTAGTGTTCCCAAGTCACTGAGATAACTCTGCCCTGCAGATCACCAAATTGTCCTCAAGGTGGCAGGTCTGCCTGTAATGGCTCACAGGCTGTAGCACTGAAAGTGGTAATTAGCCTCTGGATTACTGAAGGTCCCCTCTACCAATGTAAAGAGGTACTGAGTGTCTCTGACCAAGCAGGCTCAGCTGCCTGGAACACTGAACCTCCAGTGAGGAGGAGAACAGTAAGCTATATTCTCTTCCTCAAATCCTTTATAGTCAGATAGATAGATAGATGATAGAGGTCTGGTAGTAGACAAAAGGAAAGCAGTCTTGAACTTAGTATGAACTATTCTGACTAATCTTACCAACCAGTCCTAGTTTGCTTCTGCTTTTCCTTTATCATCTACTGCCAGAAAATAGATACACAGTGCATGACCAAGCACAATGTTTCAAAGTGTGGGTGCCTCGCTTTCCACCTACAGTGAAACTGCTACCTACTAGAGACAAACAGCAGGTACTTCCTCATTGGCTCAAAGTACTGTCTATTCTGGCTACTCCAGCAGAGCTGTCCCAGTCCTGAGCCCTTTGTCCCCAGACTATGCTATTTATTTTTAATATCTGTCTTCCCAGCCGGCGCCGCGGCTCACTAGGCTAATCCTCCACCTAGCGGCGCCGGCACACCAGGTTCTAGTCCCGGTTGGGGCGCCGGATTCTGTCCCGGTTGCCCCTCTTCCAGGCCAGCTCTCTGCTGTGGCCTGGGAGTGCAGTGGAGGATGGCCCAAGTGCTTGGGCCCTGCACCCCATGGGAGACCAGGAGAAGCACCTGGCTCCTGCCATTGGATCAGCGCGGTGCGCCGGCCATTGGAGGGTGAACCAACGGCAAAAGGAAGACCTTTCTCTCTGTCTCTCTCTCTCACTGTCCACTCTGCCTGTCCAAAAAAAAAAAAAATCTGTCTTCCCCTGTACAACTTACCTCTTACCCTAAGAACTAGCTGGATAGATATGGATATCCGGTCCACCTCCTGCCAGCCTCATTTCTGGTGACTTAGCCTTTCTGTGATACCTCTGCTACTGGTTATAACGCTACGTTATATGGAAAAGAGCACTCATAAGGGCCATGGTCCCTGAGCACCTGCGTCGCTGAGACCTGAATCCTCAGGTGCTGTGCTGTGCTCTCGCAACGCTGAGATTCATCTGATGGATCCTCCATCCGGACAGTTTCTAAACACTCCAAGTTACACCACACTGCTGACCGGAGAGAGGCCCTCTTCTTTGTTTCTTCAGCCCTTGGCAAGGAAAGGGGCTTGCCTTATCTTCCCAGCTATTCTATGGGGCTTGCGTTGGCTACATGTGTCCTGCCACAGTTCATATGCAGGGAAAACAATCCCTGTTGAAGAAAAACCGCTTAGAGCATAGCAAAGCCCTTGCTCTCCAGCAGGCTGTCCAACCACACCTGGGATCCCCAGCCACAAGGATTATCAGAACAGCAGACAATAAAGCAAACAGCCAGTATCAGTGCACTGCACACATGTTTGGTCAGAGGATAGAAATGAAGTCTTCCTCAAACATCATGCGGAGTGAACTAAGCCAGTCCCAAAGGGACAAACATCATATGTTCTCCCCGATCGATGACAACTAACCAGCACCTAAAAGGAAACCTGTAGAAGTGAAACTGACATTATGAGAAACAGTGACTTGATGAGCCCTTGTCCTGACTGTCGAGGAACAGCTTACTACTTTATTCCTTTTAGTATTTTTTTCTGTTTTACTTAATACCATTGGTTGAACTCTTTAATTTACACACAATTGTTCTTAGGTGTTTAAATTTAACCCTGTTAAAAATAAGAATGGGAATAAGAGAGGGAGGAGATGTACAGTTCAGTACATGCTCACTCGGACTTAGCTCTAATGGTAGAGCTGGAAACGTGCCATGGGACTCCAAATCTCATTAAGTTGGCATGTATCAATGCCATCTTACTAGTTAAAGTGATCAGTTTAAGTTCATGATTGATCATAAAGATAGGATTGTCAAAGGGATCACATAAACAAGACCAGTGTTTGCTAATAATAACTGATAGAATTACAAAGGAGAGAACGATCTGACATGGGAAGTGGGACACTCAGCAGACTCATAGAATGGCAGATGCCCTAAAGAGCATGCTGGCCTCAGAATCAGCCCTTAAGGCATTTGGATCTGGCTAAAAAGCCCATGAGAGTTTCTCAGGCATGGAAAGCCAAGACACTCTGGCAAAAAATGACCTAAATGAAAGATCTCTGTGACTGAGATCCCAGTGGAGAGAACGGGCCATCAAAGAGGGAGGTACTTTTCTCTAAAGGGAGGAGAGAACGTTCACTTTGACTATGGCCTTGTCTAAATAAGGTCAGAGTTTGTGAACTCAAGAGGCTTCCATAGCCTTGGCTACTCATGACAAGAGCCTCGGGTGACTAGGTAAGAGTGTCAATTGTTAAATCAACAACAGGAGTCACTGTGCACTTACTCTGCATGTATGATCTCTGTCCTTAATGTGTTGTACTATGCAAATTAATGGTAAAACTAGTCTTCAAAGAGTACTTTTTACTTTGTGTGTCTGTGTGGGTGCAAACTTTTGAAATCTTTACTTAGTATATACTAAATTGATCTTCTGTATATAAAGATAATTAAAAATGAATCTTAGTGAAGAATGGGATGGGAGAGAGCAGGAGATGGGATGGTTTGCAGGTGGGAGGGTGATTGGGGGGGAAAACCGCTATAGTCCAAAAGTTGTACTTTTGAAATTTATACTTATTAAATAAAAAGTTTAAAAAAAAGAAATGAAGCTTCCCTCAACTAGCAAGAAACCATATACTCATTCAAGTAACAAATGTTTACCGAAGCTAGGAAAAACTTCAGGTCTAAAGGCGTGGGCCACACGAACCTGGCACCAGGAGATAGTAAGTGTTAGTACAAGGCAGGGAATTGATATGTAAAAAGCAATGTTGAGAGATTCAAGGAAGGATTGGGAGTGGGGAGAGGGATTTATGAGTAAAGAAGGAAAAGTCTGATGTGAAAATTTAAAAAAATAGAGAGAAAATGAACCAATCACTAAAGACAGTTGTTGGAGACTGCTCCAAATGAATCATCAAAGAAACAACAACAGGTACTTATTCAGAGAAAAAACCAGTAATTTGTATAGCATCATCCAGTGAAATGCCATGGGCCTCTGGATCCGACAACCCTGGACTTGAAGTAACCACCCCGTCTCTAGACACATGGGCCAGAAATTCCAGCTCTCTGAGCACTGAATCCCAAGATTAATCACTCAGTACTGCAGATGAGAGAAAAATGCTACGTGTAAAGTGACTGGCACACAGCCACCCAGGACACAAGCCCTAAATGGTTTTCCCTTGCCTCGCTCACGTGTTTAGATACATCCAGCACCCTGGTTGTAGGGGCCACTCCCACCAACCCTGCTTTCACTCGACACCCACACGGGGTCTCTTACCTCCACCTGACTGTCCCAGTCCAGAGAGCTGTTCACAACAACATCAGGGTAGTCAGGCCAGACCTGAGAAGAGGAGAACACTAAGTATCAATGGATCAGTCCATTTTCCTTATATACTATATCCTAAGAAATTTTAAGCCATGACACTAGGGAAAATAGCACACTGATTATCATGCAGGATAAAAGCACCTATCTCACTTAAAAAGTCTTCAACTGTTTCAATAAATATTTATTGAAAAATGAGAACTTTTGATATCAAAGCCCAAATGCAAAAGGTCAAGAAAACCACAGTCACAAACAGACATAGCGGTGACCCACCCCAGGCTCAGACATAGCATGACCCACCCCAGGCTCAGACATAGCATGACCCACCCCAGGTTCAGACATAGCATGACCCACCCCAGGCTCAGACATAGCATGACCCACCCCAGGCTCAGACATAGCATGACCCACCCCAGGCTGGGCACTGGCAGACCACTGCCCAGCTCATACCTTTCCCCAGACAATGCCGCCGCCATTTGGGTATTTGATGAAGACGTCGTCCTCCACACCCCGAGTGAAGGCAGGGTAAGGCTGCGTCTCATTGCCAGAGATCGCTGGGTCCTGAAATCAAACCACAAGTCAGCTGCAAAAACCAAAGCTGGCAATGGCAAGGACATGAAAAAGGAGAACTCCTGCAGAGAGAAGGCCTTAGGGTCCCCTGGGTGGTAGTTTCTGGACCCCAGGGAAATGCATTTCCTAGTGGGGCTTCCATTTCCCGCTCACTCCATGGAAGGAAGGACAGCACAGGGCCTTCTCCCCCACAGCCCACCAGCCTCCCCACATGACATCACGTGAGCACCAACCAGGATGAGGATGACCCGCATCCCATCGCCACGCAGGCGCTGGATCAGAGCTGGGAGCCCAGCAAACTTGGGGCTGAGGGTGAAGTCCAGCTGCCGCTCCATGTAGTCGATGTCTGAGTACTGCACGTCCTGGGGAGAGACACAGGGCCACCGAGTGCTGCTGCAGTCCAAGCCCAGGCTCCACTAGCAGCCCTCTGCCACGGCGCCCTGAGTTACAAACAGCTTCCTTTATATGCTTCCACATCTCAGCTTTGTCGTGGGTTAAAATTAGATCCTGGGAAATGTTCCTTGTTGTAATAATGAAAGAAAAACTGATCGAGTAGACAACACGGATGGCCAATCTACTACAAAACAAAAACCTACAATGCCTTCAGAATATCAAATTTAAGAGTGATCCGACACAGCATTTTCATTAGGAATGAAATATTACAAGGTACATTTCCCATGAATGGAACAAGTGTAGGCAACAGAAAATTAAATAGAACAAAATTGATATTAAGCAGTCCATGGGATGAATTCTCTGACTATTGGACACCCTTGAAACGGTTTTTTCTAAATTCATTTCCTCTGGAGACCCATGATCCCTACCTTCAACCGGTGGTTTGCTCAGAGCTGCTGCATCGAGCAGAGGGTTAGGACTAAGGACGTGCACACATGCACAGGCAATGCCATGACTGAATCCGAGTGAACTTTTCAATGGAGCCAGCTACAGATGAGGAGACCTTCTATGCACATGAAATCAAATATCATTGACTAAATGTTCTGAAGGTATATAGAATAAACGAAAGGGCTCCAGACATATAGGAAATAGTGCTAGAGCGAGTCTATCCAGCCTCCTTGAAGAAATCACTATGAGGCTTTGAGTCCTACTCACTCCTGTGAGAGGCAACATGGGCCTCCGTTTGTGTTACTGTGTTTGGGTCTGAGAGTGGACAGCAAAGCATTTTGTACTGTGTGACCTCATAAAACTCTCACAGAGGGTCCAGATGGAGAGACCCCTGGGTGAGTGTGAGGTCCAGGACCAGGCCCCAGCACTGAGGACTTACATAGGGGATCTGGGCCGCCACCATGTCATCATACAGGTTGGCAATCTCCGTGTCATTCTCATAGCCATAGCGACACAGCTGGAAGCCCAGGGACCAGTAAGGCACCATCACAGGACGGCCAATCACCTGGGAAGTAGGTAGGAAATATCAGTCATCAAAAAGAAGAAACTGGATTCAAGCAGTATATGAAGTAATAAAAATATTGTTCAGTTCTCCACGCTGGACAATCAATACATTTAAATCCAGAGCTAAAGGGCAGGAATGCAAAGCCACTAAAATACCATGGAGAGAGCTCTTACTAGACTTGAAAAAGTTGATTTTGCTCTGATTTCTACAGGTGCTCTGGTTCCAGACCCAAAATCCCTGGCTTAGCATTCAGTTTCCAAGTCTTGCTGGCTGGAGCTTAAGTGAAGTTGAGTAACCTCTTCACATACCAAATTCTTACCTGTAAATCAGGCCTAGTAATGGTAACTGCACGTAGTGACTTTTTGTGGACTGACTAGTTATTATGAGTTTACTTAGAAACGGAGATAAAAAATGGAATTAAATCATAAGTTTATTGTGGCGCAAAAATATTTGTAGGATTGCATAGGAGCAGTCTTCATAAAGTTCTTAGAAAAATTCATGTTATAAAAAGATATCCATGAATTTTGATCACGCTATAGCAAAATAAACTTATATCCACATTCCATTTTTCATAAACCTTTGACTTACCCACACATATAGAAAGTTTTCTGACATATGTTTAGTAATAGACATGTAACATACTTTAAGATTGTATGTAAGGGTTTGTTGCTGTCACAAGTCAGAGACATCACTGTCATTCTTCACCTCTACCACCATCACCCCCACTGTTACAGCCAGCACCACCTGCACCACCACTAGCACCAACACCTCCTACTCCCATCACTACCGTTACACCCACCATCACTGCCACTGCCCCTCCACCACAATGACCACCACCAACCCCACCATCATCCTGTCACTACGACCTCCACCATCATTACCACGATCATGCTCATCACACCTCACCTCCTCCCACCATCACCATCAGCACGGCTTCCGCAGTCACAGCATCTTACCATGGTGACAACCACTGCCATCATTACCACCAGAATCACCACCACGCATGGCCACCATCATCACTGTCACTCCACCATCACTGCCATCTCACCATTCCCATGACCATCACTGCTGCCTGTCTTCAGTGCCTGGAGAGGCTGTGAGTTTCAATGTTTTGATAGTTTGTCTATTCCTCCATATTCTGTAATCTTCCTGTCTCTAAGAAATGCCAACAATTCCAGTTTTTCACCTGAGAGTTGCTCCTATGAACATGGGTTTGGCGCACAGAATGTGCTGTATAAACACTTGGCAGCCAGCTGACTCCCTCCTACCTCCGTGTACTGCTGAGTGACAAGCTCTGGAGTGGGCCCCAAGAACACATAGAAGTCCAGAACTCCCCCTGTGGTCCGGTACGTCAGGGCAGGCGTGGGCTGGAACGTCACATCTGTGGTGCAGGAAAATGCTGACCATGAGGAAAACGTCACAGAGAGGAACCATCCCTGGAATCCCACCTTCCACCTCTTCCTGGATCTGCCCTGAGCGGGGAACGCAGAGTTCTACCCACACAGAACACAGGCTCACATCCCAGGATTTCCCCCTTTGCTGAGATCTGTTATTTTATTACGTTTTATCATTCTGCTCTTTTAAAATTATTATGGCTTTTATTTAAGAATAGTTTAAGACTCAAGAGGAATGACAAAACCAGTACTCAGTGTTGGCGTGTACACTCAGTTTCCTCCAATGATGACATCATATATAACAGCTGTACATTGACAGACCCAGGAAATTGATATTGACAGCAACACCATTCTCTCAGCTATTGACCTTATATGTTTCTATATAAATATGCTTTTCCACCCTCCTGATACTTCCTTTCCTACATGCCACATGTTTTTTTACACCCTCATAGCCCCAGAAGGAGTAGCTTTACTGGTAATTCAAATTATACAGCTGGCTTTCCCTAGCTGATTTCCAGAGTGGGACTCATGTTTGCTATCCCTCTGTACATGGGATAGAAAACAAGAGCTGATGGAGTCTCATCAGATGTGACTGGGATGAAATCAATGGAAAGCTTACAGAAAGAAAACACACCACTATTACCAAGATGATAATTTTGAGCTCAGGAGGCAGCTAGGTTAAATATATTCCAAAGTCACTCAAGAATGATTGGTGCACAGAGATGAGGGAGCCATGGCACAGGCTTACCCATGGCATTGCTGTTCAGCAGGAGCACTCCGTGGGCACTGCCATCCTCCTCCAGGCCCATGTAGTAGGGGTGCACACCATAGGAATTCATCTTGTACTAAGAACCAGGACAGAGAGGCGGCACGAGTTAAGAGACGTTGTAGTTGAGAAAGAAACCCAGCAAATTCCCATGGGCCCAGTCTTCCTTGTGACTGATTAAACACAGGTGACCAGAGAGCCTGGGAACTACACCCCTGGTGGAGAAGCAGAAGGGGGGACCCAGCAGGTGGAGTCTGGCAGGGCACAGCACAGCGCGTGCACACCCAGAGCTGGCAGAGGGGCAGACACAGAACCCAGCGCTCCGTCCTTACCCCCGGGGGCTGGTCTCGGGAAAACATGCCCCACGTGTGCCAGTTCAGGTCTCTCCGGAAGGCCGTGTGCTCCGTCTCCCCAAAGCCGTACAGGTACGCGGAGGGCAGGCGGGTGGAGATGCGGATGAACAGGTCGTTGAACAGGAAGCCGAGCAGCTGAGAGTCCCAGCTGCAACACAGACAGGGGGTTGGGAGCAGACACGGACCTCCCTCGGGGCCCCGAGCAGCTGGCTTTCCCAGGACAGCACTTACATGACAGCGCCTGTGCTCTTGCGGCGAATCACCACCCCGAATGGGTTCTCCCCAATGGAGACCTCGTAGAGCCGACTCTCAGGGCTGCTGGCTGGAACCCCGGGTAAGTTCAGAGGGACTGGGACCTCATACCGGCTGTTGTTGGGGTCATAGATCTAGGCCAGAGGGAACAGGTGTTAGACGAGGGTGCAGGTGGGGGAATAAATTTTGTCTTTATTTTATTGTTAAGGGTGATTATACTTAATAATATTGTATTGTGTAATCCAAAAGATATAGAAGAAAGGAATTTGAATACTCTCATCACAAAGACATGATTGATGTCTGAGCAGATGGATGATTCCAGTATACTCTTAAGATCAATGTGAAATGTACAAATGTACCAAAATATTAAAGTACCTCATAAAGGTATATCATTATTATCTGTTAATAATAAATATTTTAAATAAGGATAGTTTTCTTTATACCCTTTTCTGGAAGATTTATTTATCTGAAAGGCAAAGTTACAGAGCGAGAAGGAGAAGGAGAGACAGAAAGAGACACCTTCTATTCACTGGTTCACTCCCTAAACAGCCAAAACAGCCAGGGCTGGGCCAGGTTGAACTTCATCTGGGTCTCCCACATGGGTGTATTCCCTCAGAACTTGGGGCTGTCTTCCACTGTTTCTCCAGGCACATTAGCAGGCAGCTGGATGAGAAGTTGGTCACCCAGGATTCTAACCATTGCCACAAGGGATGCCAGTGTTGCAGTCGGCAGCTTAACCCACCACACCACAACACAGGCCCCTAATCTAAACCCTTAGCAGAACCTGTGCATATTTGACAAGGAGCCTGGATGCTATACTTTTTGGTCTTAAATCTTATGATACCTGGTGTCTCTTCAACATATCAAAGAGCAGTGTCAGATTGACCGTTTTGAACTGGGTCTGTGACATCTCATTTGGAAGGCCTCTGTTACAGTAATCCACTCACTTGGACGCTGTAAGTTTGTATAAAAGTGGGTGTCGCTGTCACCACATAGTCACAACAACCACTGTATCACTTGGAAAACAATGCTGAAATCCCTGTGACATTTATGGATTATTTGTTACCTTTTGTGTGGACACATGAGTGCGTGTGAATGTTTTTAAATTTTTAGAATTGAAAAACCAGGGCTAGCACTGTTGCACAGTGGGTTAGGCCCCCATCTGCAGTGCAGGAACCTATATGGGCATTGGTTTGAGTCCCAGTTGCTCCCCTTCCAATCCAGCTCCCTGCTAATATGCCTGGGAAAGCAGCAGAAGGCGGCCCAAGTGCTTGGGTCCTGCATCCGTGTGGGAGATCTAGAAGAAGCCCCAGACTCCTGGCTTTGGACTAGCCCAGTTCTGGCCATTGCAGCTATTTGGGGAGCGAACGACTGATTGGAAGATCCCTCTCTGTCTCTCTGCCTACCCTCTCTCTGTAATTCTGCCTTTCAAATAAATAAATCTTAAAAAAAAAAAAGGAAAAAACAAATCCCTCCCCAAAATCCCATTTAAATGAAATAATGATGTATGACCTGGCTGAAAATGACACACAAATTTGATTCAGTGAGTATCTATTGCTTCATGATACAATACTGCACTCTATGGATATGCACTGAATAAGGCAAGATTGTTACTTTAAGAAATCCGCCTGCTTGTGGGAAGTGAAAGACCGGGGACCGCAGCATCTGGGTGATATGTGCTAACGCAGAAGTGCTGTGATATCCCTGGGAAGGAAACGTCTAACACCATTTCTTAGAGAATGAGGTAGTTTTGTGGGAGTATTGTAGGCCGAGTCTTAAATTGCTATTATTCAAGAACAGAGACTATAACAAGCCATTCTGACAAAGAATGAGGAAGTGTTTTTTTTTCTTTTGTACTCCTTGTTGAACTATTTACTTAGTGTAGGGTGAATCTTAGGAGTATAAAGGTAACTGAAAATAGATCTTTATAAAAAATAAGAAAGAGAACAGGAGAGACAGGAATAAGAAGGGTGGGAGTATGGGCGGGACGGAGGGTAAGGTAAGTGTCTCTATGTTCCTGAATCTGTATATGTGAATTTGTATTCTTGAAATAAAATTTAAAAAATTACACACACACAAAGAAATAACACATACAAATGCAGAAGTAGGCCTAGAGGAGACTAAGCGTTCAAAGAGAGCTACTGTATAGTCAAGAGGTAAAATAAGAAGTGCAGGCTGAAAACTCCTACCAGGTTCACTTGTTTCTAGCCCATTGGTTGCCTACCATATGCCAGCGCTCCTGTGAAGTCACAGACATGGAGAGCATCACCCCTGCATTGGAGGGGTCCAGGCTGATGTCAGAGTGCTTCTCCTCACTCATTCACTCTCCAAAAACTGATCTGTGTATCAGACTCTGTTCATTTCAGAAGCATCGATACAAAAGGACAAACCCTGCTCTTCGGAGACATGTAGTTAAACAGAGGAATGCACATAGAGGGGGCACTGTTCTTAATATGCAGATGTAATAAAACCACGGAATGGAAAGAAACCACTGTCCTTTGATGGCCAAGTCATAGAGACCTCACTTCACAGTCTAAAGCTGAACTTGAAATTTTATGTTGGGGCCAGTGCTGTGGCTCAGTGGGTTAATGCCCTGGCCTGAAGTGCCGGCATCCCATATGGGCGCCAGTTCTAGTCCTGGCTACTCCACTTTCAATCTGGCTCTCTGCTATGGCCTGGGAAAGCAGGACAAGATGGCCCAACTCCTTGGGCCCCTGCACCCATGTGGGAGACCTGGAAGAAACTCCTGGCTCCTGGCTTTGGATCGGCGCAGCTCCGGCTGTTGCAGCCAATTGGGGAGTGAACCAGCGGATGGAAGACCTCTCTCTCTCTCTCTCTCTCTCTCTGCCTTGCCTCTCTCTGTGTAATTCTAACTTTCAAATAAATAAATAAAATCTTTAAAAAAAAGAGAAATTTCTTTAAAAAAAAAGAAATTTTATGTTGCTTAAGCACACATGTTTTCATTATCCCCATTTCAGTTACTATCAATGCCATCCACAAGAAAGTGCAGGTTAGAAACGTGGGCTTGTTCTTCATGCGTCCCACTTTCTCACCAGATGTCACCGCTCCTGCAACCCCACCTTCTTGGTCTCACACATACCCACTGTGTTCCACCTCCTGTCCTGTACCTGGTCCAGGATCCATCCTGCACCTGGCCTAGTGACAGTCTCTAATTTGTCTCCACACCCACTCTTGTTCTCCCCACCATTTCCCTTACAGTAGCTAAAGCAATCTTCTCATAAGGCAAGTTAGGACAAATCTTTCTGTCCTGGCCATGGTTTCACACTGCTCTTAGAGCACGGATGATGGTTTAGTCTATATTCACAGGATTAAAATAGGCAGAGTAAATATTTTCAGGGCTCTGTAACCTGCAATAGCACAGAATAATAGAACTGAAAAGGGCTAGGCCATGTCTGATGCAGACGCCGGGCTTACCTTAAACTGCAGCATTTCATTCTTGTGGTAGGTCACTTGCAGGCGCAGGGGGTTCACAGGTGTGGAAGGGAAGGTGTTGGATTCAACAGAGGACTTTAGGGAGATGTCAGCAGAGGCCCCATCTGAGTGATACTGAACATTGCTGACCGAGTATAGATCATTGACGAAGTAGCAGAAAGGGACCCCAGGAGAACTGGATTCCTGAAAAAGAAGGCCAGTGTTGGATCAGCGTGTGGTCTTCGATCTACCAGAGAACAAAGTATTGGAGGTTCAATGAGTGGGGAGAGAAAGCCAGTTTATCACTTAGTTTGCATATACCTCATTTGGTCATGAAGTAAACCCAATTCCTTAGTCTCCTAGAAAAACATACTAAGAGTGCCCGATTCCAATCCAAGCTGATCTTCACATCCAAATAAGATTCCACTGGAAGCTCATTTGATGGATTTTATGCAGTTGTATAAGTACCGGGGCTATCATTAGGTAGGTGCAGAGTAAGCAGAGAGGTTTTAAGGCGTGATAGCACCACCCGCCTGGTTACCTCCCAGACACAGCCACGGGCAACGCAGCTGTCTGCAGAAACTCCCTGCTCATCAGGATAGCAGTCGATCTTTTCCTCATCCCTCGTCGTCAAGGTCCACTCCACCATGTACGCTTCTCCCAGGACAAGGTCAATTTCTGTGATAACAGCAACCTGTGGGAATGGAAAGGCGCAAAGACAGTCATCCACAGAATAAAGGACAGAAAATAAGAAACACAAATCAGACCTGATTCTCCACCATCCACAGGGCACATGGCTGTAGCTGATGTGAAGAGCTGTAGGCATGGTGGCAGGAGCGACTCAGGGGCACACAATTCCCACTCTATCAGGACCTTCTGTGTTACATTGTGGGGAGAGGTAGGTCAAAAGAAACCTTGTGTGAACATCCTTTTTCTTCCTGACGCTGACTCCTATTTGCATTCTTAATTTTGTCAGAAAGCCCTCTCCTGAGGTCCCACACTGAGAGTCTCAGCCGTGTCCGACACTCTACCCCTGAGGTTTTGCTCACCTCTTCTCTGAAGCTTTGATTATGCAGTTAACCATCGTTTAGCATTTCTTACTTGTGGGTCTGCTTCCCTGCCTCCTTCAAGAGAGTTTCACATGCATAAGTTGTTTCCAACCACCCAAATTCAGGCAAAAGCAAAATCAATTGTATCAATTATATCGATTTATTTCATAAGCATTATTTTTGAGTGTCTTTTCCTATATGCATCCTTTAAATGGTTTGCACGTTCCCACACGCATAACCATATACTGCCAGGTTTCTAACTTCATAATGTAGTCATCCTTGACATCTGTTGTCAGGACCACATGCCAAATGTGATCAATAAGTCACTACAGCAGAAGATAAAGTTGACTTATTTTCCCCAAATTTGGGAGGTCTCTCATGAACCGTGCAGACCCATTCGTCCCAGTGGTAGGTCACTGGAGTGTCTATAGAAGGGTTAGCTGGAGAAAACACTGCTCATAAATGCTAACTGCTTGCAAGTTTTCCAAGAGTTTCAAGTCTCAAGATAATCGATGAAAATCCATTTTAATATTAACACTTAGCCAAATACTCATCCGTTAGATAGGATTGTCAAATTGCTGTTCCTGAAGCATTTCTTAAACAATGTATGTATCTGAGTATCATCTATCTCATGTCTCAGCACAGTGTGTTTAGAGAAGCACTTCCCAGTCTTAACTCATGGGGCTCCTACCTTCCACCCTCACCTTTCCAGCATCAGCCGGCAGATTTCAGGTCCTCCTTTGCTCTAATTCTGTTCCCCACTTTCCTAAGCCTGCTTGTCTGTGTCCCATAATTTCCAGTGCTTTGAATGTACAGTCGGACAGAGCAGAGTATTGGGGGCGGGCGGGAATGGAAAGCCCTCTGTGCCTTGCTGCCATCTCTCAGCAGCTCCCGTTCAGCTGACCACCTCCTCGTCCCCTTTCTCCTTCCCAAGCCCATGACCTCCCCATTCAGGCTACAGCTCTGGGCTGTCAGGAACCCGGGCAACTTGGGCAAGCAGGAATTCCTGGTAAGTCATATCAGTAAGCTGGACTTTACCTTCAGGTTATAATCATAAGTGATTCTAGGAGACATCTGGCTCAGGACACCATTGTGCTTCACCGTCACATTGCTAGGTTCCTGCGTCCCAAAGATTTTAATCTCCTTAAATGTTAAATTATTGGGGTCCTTGTAGCCTGATTGTGAAACCTTCACATCCAAGCGATTCTGCAAAAGAATCGAGGACAGTTAGACACAAAGGTATGCACGTCACACACAGATTCTCAAGTCACTCGAGTGTTTAATCCTAGCACTGATACCCCTGTGCTGAGCATCTCTGAGCTCCACTATGTGGGTTCAAGGAGTGCAGATTATGCTTCTGACCTCAGTGCAAAATAATTCAAGAACAAGCAAATCTTACAGAAGCTCTCATGAGAGACGCTAGCTGGTTTGATCTATGTATACTCAGATCATTGCCTTCTTTTGAGGGCATGGTTTAATCCATTGGGGGAACTTAATCAAAAATGAAATGTACTCAGCTACAGCCATAAGTCCACGTGAAGTTTCAAATGTAAGTACACACATATAAAGGCACATATGTGCTAACGATCAGACAAAAACCTATACCTAAGAGTCACAAAAATTGATTACTCACTTGGATGACGGAAAACTCACATAAAATATAAACATTATTGGCCACAGTATCTGAAAAACAATAAAAACATAAGTCAGATTGGCCTGCCTACTACAGAACAGAGGTCAACCTGCCTTTCTGGCAAGCTACATCTTAATGATCACAAATGGTAGCATTTCTTTCTCCTTTGTGGCTGAACAGTATTCCAGGGTGTGTGCGTACCACAACCCATCCATCAGTGGAGGTTATCTCGGCTATCGTGAACAAGGCTACAATGAGCACGGAGGTGCAGATGTACCTCAAGATACTGTTTTCATGCCCTTTGGATGTGTGCCCACAAGAAGGACTGCTGGGTTGCTTGTTAGACTTATTTTTACTTTCTTGAGGAACCTCCATTCTGTTTACCATAATGGCTGTACCAATCTACATTCCCAGGAACATCATACAAGTGTTTCCATTTCTCCATACCCTCACCAACACCTGCTACTTCTTGTCTTTCTTTAGCAGGGATGAAGTGATATTTCGTGGTAGTTTGTGATTTGATTTTTCCTGTTGATTCACAATACTGAGCAGATTTTCATGTGCCTGTTGGCCATTTGAATGCTTTAAAAGAAAACCATGCCTGTGTCCATTTTTTAACTGAGTTATGTGTTTTTTTTTTCCTAACATGTTGCATGAGTTCCTTATATACTTTTTGATATTAATTTCTTCTCAGACACAAGTTTAAATCATACAAATACTTTCTCCCATTCTGTAGGCTGCCTTTTCACTTTACTGATATTTTTCTTTTGCGATGCAACTTTTTTTTTTTTCTGATGTGTTCCACTTGTTATTTTTCCTTTTATTGCCTGGGCTTTTGGAATTATATGCAAACAATCATTGCTATGTGCAATGCCAAGGAACTTTCTTCTTTGTAATCTTGAAGTTTCAGAATTTCCCTCCTTACATTTAATATTTTAATTCTTTTCTCACAATAGCCAAGATACAGAAACAATGTGTATGTCAACAAATCAGTGCATAAGCAAATTGTGGTACATACAGAAAATGGAATATTATCCAGTCATACAAAGAAGGAATATTCTATTTCTGTTGAAATGGTTGAGCCTGGAAATTATACAAGTAAAATATGCCAGACACAGAAAGATGAACACAGCATGATGTCCTTTATATGCAGAATCTAATATGCTCATAGGAGCATATGGCAGAAGGGCTGTTGTCAGTGACTGGGAGTGTGGAAATGGGGAGATGATGATTAAAGGGTAAAAGCATCAGTTATAAGAGGTGCAAATTCTAGTGACCTAAAGTGCAGCAATGGTGGCAAATGTATTAACTAATTTTATTGTGATAATAATTATTAATGTGTTTTAAAGATTTATTTATTTAGAAAGAAAGTTTGGAATGGTGCTGTAGGATAGTGGGTAAAGCCTCCACCTGCAGTGCCAGCATCCCATGTGGGCACAGGTTTGACTCCTGGCTGCTCCACTTCTAACCCAGCTCTGTGCTATGGCCAGGGAAAGCAGTAGAAGATGGCCCAAGTCCTTGGGCCCCTGCACCCGCGTGGGAGACCTGGAAGAAGCTCCAGGCTCCTGGTTTCAAATTGGCTCAGCTCCGGCCGTTGCATCCATTTGAGAGGTGAACCAGCGGATGGAAGATCCCTCTCTCTCTCTCTCTCTCTCTCTCTGCCTTTCCTTCTCTCTCTGTGTAACTCTGACTTTAAAATAAATAAACAAATCTTTAAAGAGAGAGAGAGAGAGAGATACACAGAGAGAGAGAGATACACAGAGAGAGGGAGAGACAGAGGGGAAGATCTTCCATTTACTAGTTTACTCCACAGAAGTCTGCAGTGGCCAGCACGGGGCCAGGCTGAAGCCGAGGGCCGTGAGCTTCATCCAGGTCTCCCATGTGGGTGGCAGGAGACCAAACACTTTAGTCACTTCCGCTGCCTTTCCCAGGCCATTAGCATGGAGCTGGATTGGAAGTGGAGCAGCCTGGACTCGAACTGGCTTCCATATAGGGAACCAGTGTCACAGGCAGCAGCTTCACCCACTGTGCCACACAGCCAGTCCTCATTATAAATGTTTACGTATCAAACTGGCACATTGTATACTTAGAATATATTCAGTATTACTTACTAATCAAATATTTTCATTTAATAATTCATGGGGTTTCTTTAAAGCAATGTTCTTGAGAATGACAAGATTACAGAATGAGTCCCCAAGCCCAAGCCACTGTTTTTCTGTCTCCACCCTAATGCCGCTTGGATAAGATTCCGTTTCAAGTGCTTTCCACACATGCACCTCCGGTACTTCCTAAGCTAGAGCCCAAGGAATTGCTAGTTGACTGGAGTCAGAAAACAGTGTGCTGGAACACATGGCTAGAAATATGCACACTAGAAGGGCATATTCAACTGCCCCATAGCATGGGTCTGTTCTTCATATCATCAACATTTCCTCACACATATTATGAAGAAAAGATAGGCAGAATTATAGGAATGACCTTGAAAACATCTTTTCTAAGTGCCCAGTGGCCATAAAATGGGAAGAAAAAATCCATTCTGAGTATAAATGAGTGTGTGTGTGTGTGTGTGTGTGTGTGTGTGTCACTGGCCACTGGAGGGAATTCCAGCACACTGCAACATGTTTTCCTTCCATCTGTGGTCCACCTAAAATGCCCCCGGATTGGCGTCCAGGAATAAAATTCCCTGCAGTGCCTTTAGCTTTTGTGTCTGCTGTGACTTCTCCACGGCTGAGGACCTGCAGCAGCAAAGGCCCATAAGGCAAAGACGCAGGCTTGGAAACAGAGGTTTCATCATCACATGCTCACCTCTGGTGTCTCCATCATCCCAGAACAGTTCACCTTTCGCTTCTTTGTTCTCATCCAGGGCGATGATAAGACCAAGAGCGTTCTGCCGACTGTGGGAAACACATTTATGCGGGAAATAAATATAGAGGGCTCAAAGGATTGTTTCCAAATTTACCTTGGAATGCTTCATCAAAATTCAAATGGGAAAAGTTACTAGCAGTAGATGCGTCTTTCTCTGGTGTCAATAGTGTCACAGGAGATAGAGATGTCCTAACCATCACCAGTAAGTGTCCATGCCTCCACACCGCTGGGCTTCATTACAAAGCGGTGCACTAACTGCTGTGCAGAGGGGACCCCAGTCCACGCTCACCTCTGGTTGGTGTTCAGCGCAGGCTCCTGCCAGGGCAGGATGTAGCCGCCCCGGACGTGAAGGTTGATGTGGTCAAGAGGGGCGGGCAGGACCTTCCACTGGGCCTTTGCATCAACATTCGCACCCTGTGGGCAGAACAGGAGAGATGAGAGGGAGCCGGCACAACACTGTGTTTCGCTAGACATCTCCAGGCCTCTGAACCTGTTGCCTGCTATTCGCCCACCAGCACGGACCTGTCACTTTCCACCGTCACACAGCTGCCAGATGGAATCCTGGGATTCTTAGTTCACGTGACATAAAGTGTGCCCCTTTAGCATGAGTCCCGGCCACCCTCACTCCATAGACTGTGTCATGAGGCAGATGGGGCATTCACTTCTTGTTGTCTTCTTGTACATCCTCCACAGTGGCACCCGACACTTTCTCTTTCTCCAAGAGTCTGTTTTATCTGCATCTCCTCTCTCCCCCGTCACCTCCCACCCTACTTAACTGACACCTTGACTCCAACGTCACAGGAGAGATCAAGGTGAGCTGACAACTTCAGGAGCCATTATCTTAACCTGATACACCTGCCTTTAGTTTGACTCACAGGTGAGAGGGGCACTCTCCCCCAGGGCATAGACCTGCTTCCTAAGGGACCATCCTGCTGTATTCTCCCAACTAGAGCAGACTTCAGAATCAGCACTTTCACATTTGGGGCCAGGGAACTCTGTTGTGGGGCTGCCCTGTGCCCTGTTTGATGTTCCACAGTATCCCCAGTGTCTACCTGCTGGATGCAGAAGCAAACCTGCTTACCCTGTTGGGACAAGAAAACATGTCTCCAGGCAGTCCCCAATATCTTTTGGTGGGCAAACTCCCCATACTTGAAAACTGACACCATAGAGGTAAGGAGTAGTTGTGGCTGACAAGTACACAGCTGTGCATTACTGCGTTCTAATAAAACCTTATTTACAAAAATAGGCGACAGCCAGATTTGATTGTTGCCCACAATAATGCATCAATCCCAACCATATATTCTTAATTTTAACTAAACATCAGAATTTTTCTTCTTTTCTAAATGGCTCCATTACATCAACTTTCAGATTTTTGCAGAATGATTTCATTTTCATTTTTACTTTGCAGGATTACTTTTATCTTTCTCTCTTCAGTAAAATGCTGGCTGAAGAAAGCTATCTTCTGTTTCAAAGTTGTATACAAACTGTATACAGTCATTCCAGGATATATTTTTAGTAACTCTAGTATTTTACTTTTTTTCACGAAAACAATCACGTCTTTTCATTCCATTTTCCCACATACATTCTGACATACACTTATACTAGTGTCTATGACAAGCAAGCAGTGGCTCCAGATTTGTGGTGTACTCCAAGGGAACATTTCCAGTATTCCATCCTCCAGAGCTCAGTGAGGCGGCTTGTGGCTGAGCAAGGCTGAGACTAGACTGAGGCAAAGGGGGTCAAGGTAAAGATAAGGCAGCCTTCACTCCAGGTCTCACAAGGACAGGCTCAGCCTTGCACTGATGCTCCTCCTTAAACTGCGGGTGACAGTCCAGGTCCACACCTGGGAACCCCAACGCTCTCAACAGGACTGAACTTCAGCGAATGGCAAGACCAGCCTGCAAACTCGGGGCTAAGGTTAGGGACACTTAGAGAGAGTTGGCTGCTCCCTCCCAGATAAGCCTGGTTGGAAGCACTCAGCAGAGTCTGACTAATGACAGATGCAGATGACCAACAAGAAAGGGGAGTCAGGGGGGCTCAGCTCCCTGCTTCTCCCGAAATTGCCCAGTTTTCACCCAATCCCACCACATCCCCTTGGATGAGAAGGCCAGGACATGCTCTGCTTTTCTTCCTGTTGTATTCCCAGTCCTTAGAAAGCAGGTAGGGGACTCCTGGTTAGAGGACAAGGAAACTTTTGGTTCTGCCCCAGGAACCAAATTCTTTCTTACCCATGTCCTGCAAGAATAGCCCAACATCACTAAGAAAACACAATAGCCCTGCGATGATGCTATGGTGAGCACCCTGTAGTCTTCTCATTGCTAAATGTACTTGCACAGTCAGGCTCACACGGCTTGGGGCCTACACCTCTGCGAGCATTTTACACGGAGCCTCATTCTTGCCTGTGCTGTGTAACTGTATGGAGCAGCCCTGCCTTGGGAATCTATGCTACACAAGACAACACTCAGTCGAAGGCAGAGAAGGAAAGGCTATTATCAAATTACAGAAGGGAATATAAACAGAACCTCTAGTTTACATACAGTATTAATTGCTCACTAGAGTCTGTGTTTATAGACTTCTGTGAACAGTGATGGTACAAGGAACGAGGAAAACAGACAGGTAAAGAGCTCTCCTGGAAGCCAGGTGCTGAGTGAGCTGCTTCAACTTGGGTTTCACCGCACTGGCCTGCAAGGAGGGCAGTGGTCCTACCCCGCCTGGAGGGGAGAAAACCAAGGGGACGGGGTTGGAGGGGATAAGGCCGGTCCCACCACGTGGGATCCAGAGGCAGCATTTCACCTGGGGTCTGTCCCACCTGAAGCTTCTGCAGTCTACCGTTTTCCCAGACTGTATACATATTTAGAAAAACTTACCGTGTAGTAGTCATACCAGCGGGCTTCAGGGAAATATGCGGTGACTTCTCTGGCATTCTGGAATTGAACACAGACAAGGTGTGGGCTGTGGGCACAGTTACCTAGGGCAGAGTAGCCAGTTTGCAGAGGAAAGTGGTGAAAACCATGGTGATGGCCTTAGACCTACTTCCTCATCCTGTACAGCTCAGCAATGCAAGGAAACTTCCTTCCCTTCCCCTTCACAAACAGGAGAGATGTGTGCCCTATATACAAGTAGCTTCCATACAGCCCTTTCACCCTACCAAGACGGCAAGGAAAAAACAGCCACTTGCCTATAGATTTTCCCCAATCCTTCACTGAAAAGACAGAGGGAGAGAAAAACATTGGAGGTATAATAAGACTATTTTAACTAATTTTTCATTTCAGAGGCAGAGAGAAAAAAAGAGACAGAAACAGAAACATCCTCCATTGGCTGGTTCACTCACAAATGCCTCAACAGCCCAGCAGGACGAGCCGAGCTCAGCACCCTGGGACTCAGCGGAGTCCCGCTGAAGCAGGCAGAACACAAGTGTCTGAGCCATCGCCAGCTGTCCCGCAGAGCGCACAGCAGCAGGGGTCTGGATGTGAAGAGGGCATCCCAAGGGACATCCTGACTTCTGGAATAAATGCCTGCTCCATGCAGGTGCAGGAAGAAGTGCGGACACTGTATCTAGCTGGAATTTCAATAAGAAGCTCAAGGACCAAGCGGAGGTATGGAGAGGGCGCTTCTCCCCAGAGGGCCTGCACTAGAAGGCAAGAAAGGGCCTGACAGCAACCAGTGAGAAGCGTCTCCTGCAGGCACTTCTGACGGAAAGCTCTGTGTTGACAGCCGCAGAGGAAGAGGAAGGTAAGGAGCTGTTTACGTCACTGCCCTCATCGGAAGCTGGACTCCTCATTTGTACAGGGAGAAATGATTGTATCTGCAAATACGTAGAAAATCGCTCCTATTCTTGATGTCCTAGGAACTGGAATTGCTTTGCTAATTATAAACACAAAGGACCTGAGGCCCGGGGTCCCTGAGTGACAGGCTCAGGAGAACAGGAAGAGACAGAGGCAAAACAAGAAGCAGGTGTCAGGACCCGGCACCAGGCCTCTTCTCCCCTCCCTGTTCTCCAGCCTCACAGCCAGGACCCTCTGCCCACCAGAGGCCCCCTACTCACAGGCTCCAGCACAGGGCTGACCAGGAAGGCCGGGCCCAGCAGGAACTGACCGTCTATGTCCCAGGTCACCCGGTCTGACACAAACCTGGAAATGACATGGAGGTGCCACAGTCACAGCCCAGCCAGCCCAGCCCAGCCCTGAAGGAAGTCCTCAACTCAGACCCACGTCAGGAACCCGCTGTACCTGAGGATCCTTACTGCTGGCCTAGGCCTGGCTCACTCAGGAACACACAGGCCCACAGCCATCTGTCCTAGGACATGCTCATCAAACCTCAGAACGGGGGAGAGTTAGCTGTTATCTCCTATAAACTACTGCCTCACGACTTTGCCATGGCACACACTAAATGCAAGCAAGGCCCTCATTCTTCATGTTTCCCCGGGAATATGCCTTCTTGTGTGACCTGAGGCCGCTGGGACCTGGGACAACTCATCACTGAATAGCTACAGGTGCCAGGAAGGTGTTGGCACAGCCAAACTCGAGACAAACAATCCTGTGCTGGAGTATATTATTTTCCCATTTCAGAAGGGACCTTCATCACCAACAGCATACACAACACAGTGAAAAGGCATCCCCTGGCACCCTAGAGAAGGCAGGAAGTCACCCACCACTCACTGAGGTCCCACTAGACACTCACTCGTGCAGGAGAGGCCGCACCACAGTGCTGCCCTCCACGTGGGCCTTGTACATCAGGGTGTAGAGATAGGGCAGCAGGGTGTATCTGGTCTCCAGGACGCTTCTGGAAAGATTCACAAAGGTGGCGTTCCAGGACACAGGGTCCTGTCTCTGCAAAAGAGGAAGAGGACTGTGAGGAGCTCAGCCTAGGGGACGTTGAGGAAGTCACTGAGAGCTTATTCCTGATGGGGACCACACACAGCCACACCACAGATGATGCCCGAGTAAGTCACGGAATATTGCTAACAGACTGGAAGAGCACATAGTGAGATTTCCCATAAGGCATTCTTCTTGGGATGCACTGTCTAAATAAAAGGGTAAGATAAAGAATATAGGTAAGTACAGTTCATACAGACACAGGGTTGAATAATCTAAAGATACCCCCAGTGAAAACCGACTGAAGAAATTGTAGCTCACAAATGGAGGGCGCCTTTCACACCACACACAACACTTGAGGGAGCAGCGAATGCCCTACCTTGGTCCCAATGGTGTTGTGGTTCCTGGAGAAGGGGTAAAAGGCCCCCAGCTGCGTCCAGCGAGCACACATCTCATATTCAGCGTCTTGAAAGAACCCACAGATGTCTGCTCCTGTCTGAACCGAGAAGCAAGAAAAGGGGCCTGCTGAGGGTTTCTGAACGCTGGCTCCAGCTCCCAGGTCACCAGGAGGGATCCAGGGACACTTACATAGGGAATGCCAAAGAGGCTGAACTCCATCATGCCTGCAAAGGGAACCACAGCGGGGTGAGACCAGGCCCTGAGCCCTGCCTCCTCCCCCCTCACCGCCCCCTCCCTGCCAGCAGGGGCCCTGGCACAAGGCTGCACACCAATGATAGACTTCCTCAGCTGGTCCCACGCGGCTGTGTTGTCTCCCAGCCAGTGTCCACCCCAGCGGCCAGAAGAGGGGAACGTGGAGCGGGTGATGACGATCCCTCGCTGTCCTGTCACCTCCTGCACGGCTCTGGTGGAGGGAAAGGAGGTGAGTTAATGACAGAAAATATCGCTAAATATTGCGAATTTGCTATTTATTTACTCAGTGCATTAATGTTCCATAAAATGTTCTTCCAATCAGTCATGGCTCAGACTCACAATGGTGATCCCATAAAATTGTAATTGAGTCCAAACTTCCTATTTTCCAGTGATGGGATAAGCATGGTTAGCCACAGAACAACACCTTCCATGTGTTTGTGATACTACAGGCGTCAGCAAGCCTACTGCACTGCCATTCAAATAAAACATGGCCCGCCCACAATTACATACAGTACTTTATACTGCTTAGTGCAAATGAATGCCGTTGATGTACCTCTTTCATATTCTATACAAAGTATTTTAGCATTATTTTGAGTAATGCTTGTAAAAACTAGATTTACTATAAAATATATGTGATTCTACGCCTGCGGCCGTCCTGTGTTCTCAGAGTTACTGCGTCTGATGACCGCAGCAGGCATCACAGTGAGTGACTGGCCCACGTCCTCAGCTCCGCGTGGACGACTCTGGAAGGCTCACACGGTGATGTCACCGGCTCCCAGTGCATTTTTCAGAACATATCTCCATGACTGCACCGGGCTTTGTGTACTGGTGGAGGGAGGATGAATTCTCTTACACAATTTTTCTTAGGATAATTTGTACTCTCATTGACCTCAGACACATCTATGTGCTAATTCCATAGAGCATTCATTGACAACCCAGAAAGAATGGCCAAATAAAGAAATCCCTACAAGAGGATTCAAGTTTGAAATAAAGGGGATACCCTGTCCTCTGCATTCCCTGTGCCACTGGTAACTATCATTAAGGAAGCACCTAGGAATCGAGGAATGGAACTGAATACTTACAGCTAAAACTTATGAGACATAAAAATATCCTCCACTTGATACACTAAAATGAAACAAGTGTTTGAGAACAAGTTCTACTGTGAACTCTCATAATACAACTCTTTGAGGACAGAGGTCCTCCATAGGAAGTTAGTGCCCAGTGACTCTTGTTAATTTAACAACAAACACTCTTATGTATGATGTCAGTAATCACCTGAGGCTCTTGACATGAGCTCTCTAGGCTACAGAAGCCTTTTGAATCCACAAACTCCATCAATATTTAGACAGGACCATAATCAAAGTGGAAGTTTAGAAGAATTGCTACACAGTAGCTTCATCCATCACTGGAATTGCTACACAGTAGCTTCATCCATCACTGGCTGTCCTGCAGGCTGTACCCAGTGGAGAAGGGAGACAGTGACTCACTCGTAGGTGGCTCTGGTCTGGGACCACCCGTACAGGCTGTGCACGTCGTAGTGCCGCACATGGGAGCCATCTGGCAGGATCTGCTCACTCTCCATGCACAGGGTCTTGCTGTTCAGGCCCGTGCCCCTGGACTCCAGGTCTGGGGGAGAAGATGCAGGGATGTTAAAGCCAGCTCTGATCCCGGGTGTCTTGTGCTTCTCTCCAAGAGACTGGATCCTGGGTCTTGAGATAATTTGACCTCTGATGAGTGCCTTTCCCTGTCTGCAAGGGTACGCAGCTCTGAGCTGCAATGTTACCTTTAGATACATTCAATATCTAGTTCACTGGAGAAAGCAGGGATTGGGGAAGAGCACACAGTTGTCAAACAGTGCATGACTGTCCCAGTTCTAGGTTTTTAATGTGTAAATCATTTATCATAATTCTTATCAAAATGTTATGAATATAACACTGTCAGCAGCAACTTAGGTTTTATAAATTGAGATTTGGAAACGTCATGTAATCTGTGGAAAGTCACATAACTCACAGAGAGAATGATCTCTGAACAAAAGTATAACTCCAAAGTCTACCCACTCTGTGATAAGGGGGACATATTACTTTGTGACAGCAAATTCCCCTGAGAAATCTAGCTCAGGAGTCCTTTGGAGACTTTACCACTGCTATGTGCTTTCTGAAAAAAATTGAGAAACTACTCAACATGCCCAGGGATTTGCACACCCCACTGGGTGTGAAGTGCTTGAAGTACATTTGTCCCCGACCCCCCCCCCCCAAGAAACCACAGCACAAATGAGAGAACCCCTCGACCCGGCTCTCAATGGCCGTGGCTCTGCCGGCGAGGGGGCCAAGGGTCCTTACGTGGCATGTAGGGGGGATGGTTCAGAATGGGATCCGTGCAGCCTGCAGGAACTGCCCCATTCACAAAGCTCGCTGGTTCATTCATGTCCTAGAAATGTCAACACAGACACTGCTTACTTCTAAGATGGCTATACCCTGTCAGTTCAGAGACAAGTCAGTAGTGAATATGCACTCAACATCCAGTGACTGAGGCTGGCGCTGTGGCGTAGTGGGTAAAGCTGCCACCTGCAGTGCCGGCATCCCATATGGGCGCCGGTTCATGTCCTGGCTGCTCCACTTCCAATCCAGCTCTGTGTTATGGCCTGGGAAAGCAGTAAAGATGACCCAAGTCCTTGGGTCCCTGCACCCATGTTTTTGGGAGACCTAGAAGAAGCTCCAGGCTCTTGGTTTTGGATCACCCCAACTCTAGCCTTTGCAGCCATTTGAGGATCAAACCAGTACATGAAAGACCTCTCTCTCTCTCTCTCTCTCTCTCTCTATCTCTCCCTCCCTCTGCCTCTCGAACACTGCCTTTGAAATAAATGGATAAATAAATTCCTGTAGATGCCAAGCCAAGGAGGATAATCAAATTCCAGTAGGAAGCGGCTAGAAAGAACAAGAATGACTGCCATGGTGATATTTAAAAAACAAACAA